GATGAAAGAAACTAGTACCTACAAGTCAGTACTTATGGATATGCTAGGCATGCAATACTCGACAAGATTAGAAACTCATTGAAGATATGAACTTGGTTTTTATTGTTTAATACTGTCCCGTCTGTTTTACTAAACGTGCCAATAGTTGTTACTTCTTTCTTGAAATTCCCAATTGTGTATCTAATAATCAATGACACAAACCTTACAATTCTCTGAACTATCATTCGGCCAATTCCTCTACCTTGTAGCGCAGGAAGAACACGCAAGACTAAAACACAATAATATAAACTTATACTGTAGAAATATTTCTTGTCAAAAACTATCAACACAAAAATAATAAAGAAAGTGAAGCAAAATATAATCCATCAAAGCACAAAATTTTTCATAAGCATGCATCTTCTCGGCATTACTGATATATCTTCCTTTTAAACACATTTTCTTGTTCTTTTTTATTTTTATTTTTTTCCTTTTTAGTGTGAAACGATGATACTCAGTCATATGCTATCATAACAATGTACAAGAACTTAATCACAAATCACAAATAATGAAGCTCTGATTCATAAGAATGACACGATCTCGGTAGAACAAGTCAAAAGAGGGAGAGTAGATTTAACTAACATGGCATGTCGTAGTTATTAAGGATATAATCTTCCAGCAATCTAGCAAGGACCAATTGCTAGACGTTTATGTACATAGCTGACATCAAATTCATTGACAACAATGCTTAATTTGCTATTGTTGTTTATGTTGGGACAAATAGTTATATCATTTAAATTTTATTTTTAGAACTTCATAAACTTTATCACAAATCACAACAAAAAAGAATAAAGTTGATCACAAATGTGATCAGTGACCTTTTTATTTAAAAAAAAAAAAGCATGATAATTATCTCACCAAATCCAATAGTGTTAATTTCTTCACTTTCACTCATATGTGCCCATCAGAGCTTTACGTAGGGCAGATTAAGACTGATTAAGATCAAAACCACACTGAGTTTCGAAGCAACTGAAATAATTAAAAGAGGCAGTATATATAATTGAAAGGGTTCTTCGAATTCCTAACCATGACAGTAGATAAAAGCTGTTGATATGTGCTGGCCCAGAAAACCACCCCGGTAATGGATGAGATAGGTCGCTACACCCAAATGCAAGGCCATTGACCCCCAGGGGGCTCTCTACCTCCCTGTGAGGCCGTCGACCAGGAAATCTCCCCAATGGTCACTGAACTTTGTAGAAAATTCCTTAGGAGGTCACCGAACTTCAATACGTCCCTAAATAGTCACTAAATTTTGTCGAAATCCCCCAAGAGGTCACTGAATTTCAAAATGTCCCTGAATGGTCACTAAACTTTGCAAAAAGTCCCTGAAGGTCACTAAACTAGTTATGTATGGGGTCTCAATTTGCAACATTGAGTGACCTCTTGGGGGAATTTCGGTAAAGTTCAGTGACCATTTAGGGACGTTTTGAAGTTTGGTGACTTTTTGGGGGGACTTCAGCAAAGTTAAGTAACTATTTAGGGACATATTGAAGTTTGGTAACTTTCTGCAAAGTTCAGTGACCATTGGGGGGATTTCCTCGGCCATCGACCCCCTGGGGCTCTCTACCTCCACGCAAGACTGTCGACCCACTACGGGCGCTCTACCTCTATGTAAGCTTCTCAACCCCCCGCGGGCACTTTACCTCTGCGTGAAGTCGCCTACCAACATGGAATTACCTATGTAGTCATTCCGATACTTAGTCATGCAAATCTCTAATAAGTTGGCGAAACCCTATAGCAGTTATCACAAGCACGACCTCCAAGTGGGAAGTTAAAGGCTCCCCACTCAGAACGTGGGGAAGTGGAAAAGCCAATGTGGGACACGTGGCATAACGACCACCCAGCACTCACCTGGCTTCTGGCCCCTATAAATACCCCCTAAGGAGGACAGGTAGGGGATTGGACATTTTTCCTTTCAGTCATTTGATTTCAGTTTACATTTCTACCAACATATACTGATTATCACACCGGAGGTAAAACGGGAGAGAAAGCCCCGCCCTCACTTTTTAGGTTGCATAAGCCCGTCGGGGTAGTGGAAACGCCAAAGGCCCTCCGGCAGATCAGAAGGCATCATTCTACTACCATTTCATTGACGCCGTCTATGGGAAATCCTTCCATTGAACACCAAAGCCATGTCACGAAGAAGCACAAGAAGTGATACACGGTTGAGGGCAGCAATAGCAGAGACAGAATCGGAATCAGTCTCCAGGGGCCCCGATCCGCCACCGCCATCGCAGTATGTGATGTAAAGCCAGTTCAGTGCCCTAGAGACCCAGTTAGCGGCCATGATGGCCCTCCTACAAAATCAAATGCATAGAATCACCCTCCCACCACATTCGACGGAGGCCCCACCTCCACCCCAGGAGGTACACATAAAAACACCGCCTGTCATCCAACCGGTTACCGCAGGCTCGGGGGCTCCAGGGATGACGGTCTTACAATCCGTCCCACCTATAGTGGATCTGGAGCGGAGAATGGAAAAGATCATGACGAAGAAAATTGATGATGCGATATCTAAAAGAAAAGACAAGTGTAGTCAGATGGTCCTAGAAGAAGACCCGTTCGCACCCAAAATCATGGCGGTCCCTTTACCTAAAGGCTTCAAGCAGCCTATAATAGAGGCTTACGATAGGGTCACAGATCCCCTTGACCATCTGTGGACCTTCTTGATTTGATGAGACTCTATGCAGTACCCGATGCGGTGATGTGCCGGTCTTTCCCCCCGACTCTCAGGAGGGAAGCCAGAGACTAGGTGGCAACACTTGCCTCCCGGTCTATTCGAACATTTGATGAACTTTTCAGGAGCTTTGTAGCCTAATTTCTGAGTAGCAAGAGAAAGAGGAGGACAGCCATTAGTTGATGCAGGTGGTCTAGGAGAAAGATGACTCTCTGCGAGAATATTTGGCCAGATTTAGCCGTACGACCCTTGGAATAGAGGACCTTCAGATGTCAACAGAGGTGACTGCATTGATGAATGGAACTCGAAACTGGGCTTTTAAGATATCACTCTCCAAGAACCCCCCAGAATCAATGCATGACCTATTGAAAAAGGGAGACAAGTATGTTGATGCTGAGGAGGCGGAGAAGGTCACAAACAACCTCAAAGAGGGATGAGAAGTGGAAAGTCACAAGCGCAAGGCGTGGAACGAGCTAAGATCCGCCAACAAAAATAGGCCAATGAGTGAGCAAATGGTTAAAGAGACAGCCCAAGACCGGCCAGCCAGGCACAAACGAGAGGAGTCCAGGGCATTCACCCCTTTGAAAACCTCACACGCCAAACTATTGATGGAGATACGAGACATGAAAGAGCTAGAATGGCCGAGACCCATGGTAACGCCAGTCGACAAAAGAAATCAGGGTAGATATTGTCATTTCCACAAGGATCACGGTCATGATACTGAAGAGTGCCTACAACTGAAGGAAGAGATCGAGCGCCTCCTTAGGCGGGGGCTCCTGGGCAAATATGTGAAGGACAACATGGGGAAGCAAAAAATGGAGGACCGTCCCCCACCTAGGGCCGGAGTGATAAACATGATTACATGAGGGTTAGTAGGAGGTAGAGATTCAAATTCGATAAGGAAAAGCTACGCACGCTCTCTCAAGATCTGCTCCATCCAAAAGAAGGCAAGGTTCAGCCAAAGCATCGCTTTTGGAGAGGAAGATTTGGTAGGCGTGGCGCACCCCCATGATGATGCACTAGTAATAGTAGGCAACATAGCCGATTTCGCCATTAAGAGGATGTTAGTTGATGGAGGGAGCGTCGCAAATGTTCTCATATGGGATGCTTTTTTGGGCTTAAAAATCTTCCATGACAAGTTGAAGACGGTGACCACCTCCTTACAGGGCTTTGGAGGGGCCACAGTAATTCTGGAGGGGACCGTAGACCTCTCTGTTACACTCGGTACTTATCCGACCACTGTGGTAATTGTGGCAAGCTTTTTAGCTATCAAGACTCCCATGGCCTACAATGTGATCTATGGTCGACCATTGCTGAATGCAGTCGAGGCCATCCCTTCAACCTACCACAAGGTCATGAAATTCCCGACCAACAGGGGTGTCGACTGTGTGCGAGGGGATCAACAAGCGTCCAGAAAATGTTATGTCGACAGTATATCGATCAAGGGAGCACCGTCGGTCATGATGCTGGAGGTTGAACCCCTAAAAGGGTGAATCAAACCACTTGAAATGATTGAAAAGATTTTCGCATCAGAAGGACGGGAGTTTAGTGTTGGGGACGATTTGGGATCTGACGAAAAGAGAGAGTTGGTAAGGTGCCTGGCAGACAACCTAGATGTCTTCGCATGGAGCCTAAACGATGTCACTGGGATCAACCCAATGATCGCCCAGCATCGCCTCGGAGTCTTACCCAAGGCCAAACTAGTGAAGCAGAAGAAAAGGAACCTCACTTCCGAAAGGCAAGAAATAGAAAAAGCGGAGGTGGAGAAGCTGCTACAAGCAGGTTTCATCCGAAAGGTGCAGTACCCAGAGTGGTTAGCCAACATTGTGCTGGTTAAAAGTCAAACGGGAAATGGCGCATGTGTGTAGATTACACTGGACTGAATAAAGCATACCCGAAGGACTCATACCCACTCCTCCGGATAGACTACCTGGTTGACGCCACATCAGGTCACAAAAGGCTTAGCTTCCTGGACGCATTTTCTGGGTATCACCAAATCTCTATGGCTGAGTTTGACCAGGAGAAGACGTCATTTATCACAGATTCTGGAACCTACTGCTACACAGCCATGCCATTCGGCCTCAAGAATGCAGGGGCAACATACCAGAGGATGGTGAATAGGGTCTTTCGAGAGTTGATCGGGACTGTCATAGAAGCCTATGTCGATGACATGGTGGTAAAAAGTGTCAAGGCCACCCATCACGTGGCCTGTCTACAGAAAGTGTTTGACGTAGCCCGACGGAACAACTTGAAGTTCAACCCAGAGAAGTGTGTTTTTGGTACAGCAGGCGGGAAGTTCCTAGGCTTCATGATCACAAAAAGAGTGATTGAAGTAAACCTTGACAAAATACAGGCGATACTAGAAATGAAGAGCCCCACTAGTAAGAAGGAGGTCCAGCGGCTGACCGGGCGTGTTGGGCCCTAAATCGGAGTCGAGCAGCAGATAAGTGTTACCATTTCTTTAAAGCCATAGGGGACTCTACAATTTTTGAGTGGACTCAAGAATGCGAAGAATCCCTGGAATCCTTGAAAAGGTCACTACAGCAGTCTCCTATTCTGACCAGCCTATGCCCAGGAGACGTATTATGTCTCTACCTCGTGGTGTCACCCAATGCTGTCAGCACGATTCTTGTGAAAGAATTTCCAAAGGTACAAAAACCGGTCTATTACGTCAGTCAAGTCCTCAAAGGGGCAGACACAAGGTATAGTCTGGACAAACAGCTAGTGCTCACATTGATTGTTGCAGCCAGGAAGTTAAGACCTTATTTTTAGTCCCATACAATGCAAGTAATGACTGACGAACCCATCAAACAAATCCTGCATTGACTAGAGATATCTGGAAGACTTCAGAAATGGACAATTGAAATAAGCAAATTTGACATTGAATTAAGCCTAGGACGGCCATCAAAGTACAGGCTCTAGCAGACTTTATTGCTGAGCTCACCATTCCAATAGAGCCCTTGAAGGGGCAGAAGGCGGACTGAAAGCTTTTTGTAGACGGTTTCTCGAACGGATCAGGAGCAGGGATTATACTGATTGGACCAGACTCCGTAGAATTGGAATACTCACTGCGTTTCGAGTTCCCCGCTACCAATAATGACGTCGAATAGGGTTTCTCGGCCTAGCAGCTAGGCTGGGGGTATCTTCAGTAGAGGTTTCCTATGACACACAGTTGATAGTCGGGCAAAAGTTAGGGGAGTATGAGGCGAAAGATGGAAGGATGCTAGCATACCTGATGAAAGTAAGGGATCTGCAAAGAGGGTTTGTGAGCTTTAAGATAAGGAAGGTCCCACGAAAGGATAACTAGCGGGCAGACGCGCTGGCAAAGCTCGCGTCGACCAACCCAAAAAATTTACCCTGGACAGTTAACATACAAGTCCTACAACAACCTAGCATCTAGTGTTGGGCTGAGGTGAAAAATGTTGAGTATGAAGAAAGCTGGATGGATTCGTTAATCAAATACCTCACAGAAGACAAAGTACCAGAAGACCCCCTTGAGACGAGGAGGTTGAGAGCTCGAGCGGCTTCATTTACCATAATCGATGGGTAGCTTTACAAGCGAGGTTTTACTATGCCATATCTGAAATGCATACGACCTGTCGAAGCCAAGGAGATACTGTTTGAAGTACATGCTGGGATTTGCGATAACCACCAAGGGGCAACATCCCTTGCCTTTAAGATTTTATGGCAAGGTTATTATTGGCCGACCATGAATGGAGACGCCTAAGAGTTGGTACGAAAATACGATGCATACCAGCACCACGGGAATTTGATCCATGTCCCAGTCAAATAGCAGGCAGCCATCTTTGGGGTGTGCCCATTTTTCCAATGGGGAATGGACATTTTATGACCTCTGCCCATGGCTAAGGGATAGAGAAAGTTTTTGCTGGTCGCCATCGACTACTTCACTAAGTGGGTGGAGACAGAGCCATTGGCAACCATCACGACTGCAAAAATACAAGGCTTTGTATGGAGAAGTATAATATGCCGATTCGGGATACCCAGGGTAGTAGTAACAGATAACGACAGACAATTTGACAATCATAGCTTCAAGACATTTTGTGCAAGTTATCATATCGATCAAAGACTAACCTCGGTCGCCCACCCTCAATCAAATGGGTAAGCCGAGGTGATGAACCGAATCATTCTATGGGATTTGAAGACCAGACTAGAAAAGGAGAAAGGGCTTTGGGCAGATGAGTTGCCGAATGTTATATGGGCGTATCACACAACTCCCTAAGAGCCGGTCGGGGAGACACCATTCAGACTGACCTTTGGGATGGAAGCAGTAGTTCTAGTTGAGATCCTAAGCGAGACAATGAGGATGAAAGTCAAGCAGCCCGACAACGCAGTGACTAGGGGTGAACTCAACCTGCTTAAGGAGGTAAGGGAGAAGGCGGCAATAAGAATGATGGCTTATAAATGAAGAGCCACCAAGTACTTCAACCGGAGAGTGAAGCCAAGAGTCTTCAAGCCAGGAGATCTCGTGCTAAGGGATGCAGCAGCAGTAGGACGCCCCTCACCAAAGCTTGGTCCAAACTGGGAAGGCCCATATGAAGTGATCCGCGGGTTGGGGAAGGGAGCTTACAACTTGAAAGACATGAAAGGAAGGCCACTAGGTAGGCCGTGGAATGCAGAGCACCTCAAAAAATATTACCAGTAGATTTTGAAATAGATGCACAGGCTGTGCTTTTGTAAATAAAGTAGAATAGGTTGCATTGTTCATTCTCTCCATATATTTATTTATTTATTTATTTATTTTTTTAAATTTAACGGCAGTTGCATTGATTTTGATTCTTCGTTTTTAGAGTTTGATCCAACATAAAGTGAAATTGCTAGTAAATAATTGTTTTATGAACAGTGGATTCGAGTGAATTTTTTGATATTCTATAAGACATTCCACCCGAATCTTGGCCATCTGAAGGCTCAAACGGATCCAACCGTCTGGACGAAAAATTTTGGTTAAATTATTGTACAAGGTTGGACTGTCTAGACGAGCTAATACTAGCAGGATTTATGTCATCTGGGGATTTGTTCCTCTTATGAGGTCGATTTGGAAAGTACTTACATTGGTGGTAATCTGACCGTTTTTGACGGCGACGATTCTAGAAATAGTCTTTATGAACAAAACCATTCAAGCGCGAGTGATATTATGTTTACTAAGAACTTGCCAAGAAAATTGATGAAGATTGACTTGATAAGAATTCAAGATGTCTATGGTATTATTTTTTCACATAAGGTGATTTGGATTAGCTGGACAATTACATTTTCTTTTAGTGTGGTCACACGGTAAGTTTGGTAGATTATTTTCTCATGATATATTTATTCATTTGAGGTTCTTATCATATCTTCATTCAGGTCATTACATCAATTCATAGCTATCGTGAAGGAGCGTATTTAGAAGATCTTAGCAATACCTAAAGATCGGAGGGATAGTCAGTTTCTCCTATCTTTAGAGATCTTTTCTTCGAGTAGCTTGTGGATCATACTTTAGCAAAACCAATAGGTATTCCTTCTAATTTTTTAAGAATGTGGTCCATGCTATAATGGCAAAGAAATATGAAAATTCTTGGCAATGACATAGCTTTGTGCGCTTTACTTAATTCAACTAATCGTGAGATTACAGGTTGAATTATGTCAAAGGTGATAGGATTTTCGCTTGACATTTTGGAGATGAGAAAAGTGAAGAAATCTAAGAAGGTTTCTTCTTTTACGATGATAGTCGACGATATGATTTTTCGTGTCAGAACGAGCTACCGGATGCCTCTTTCCCAGCGGTCCACAAGCACAATCTTTTAGAGCTATCATTGATAGATGATGATTTGACTGTGCTTACTTTTCCTTCCGATTATTTTGCATTTTTTGACCTAGGTGTGGTAGCACTTGGACACGTTACGAGCAACTTTGTCAAGTGAAGGCCGCCGAGAACATGATGGCTCAGATTTTTAAGGTATAATATTTTTTGTATACTTCATTATGGATAACCCATTTGATTGGACCTAACTGGTTTTTATTGTCTTTAGTGATTGTAAAGGGCTATTTTTTAGAAGAACGAAGGCATTAAATAGGCTAGAAAGGTACGCTTCCTACAAGATACGAATACCTTATTACATGGAAAAGTTGAAAATTTTAAGGTGGGAGAAACTACTTGGCTACCAAAAAGGTGGTAGATGAGTTGGCGGAGATGGTTAGTAAAAAGCTAGCTTTGGAGGAGGAGCTTGCAAAGAAAAAAAATCCTCGGGAGTTCAGATTGCTTTTTTGGAGGATGTTTTGGAAAATTATCATCTAGAGGTTTAGATAACTACAATTGCCTTTGATAATTATGTTTTTACACTTATTTAACACCCAAATATGCTAATTAATGATTAAATTGAGCGAATTCCTATTCATAATTGTGTATTTATGGCTTTTATAGGTGAAACAACTCAAGGAAGGAGAACAAAGCAAATGAGGTGAAAATGGATCAAAATCACACAAAATTGTGAAGTTGGGG